GGGGGGTTGAGAAGGAATGAAATAGACCAAAAATATCGTCTTTCTTTTATCAAAAATATGTAGATTTGTTTCCTTGGGGACTTGAGGGGGGAGGAGGAGAAGCTGGCCCACATTGGCTCCATCGGATCCACCCGTTTGGTTCTTACGATGCACTTTTTTCCCTCTCAGGTTTTTGCGGATGTAAAACACACATTAAGACTCAGCTCGGTGTCTTGTCAGTCACTGTTTGGTAACAATTTATGTCACCTTGATATGAAAAAAGGGCCATGACTGTACCATTTCCAGAAGTAAACACTTTGTCTTCTTTTTAGAAAGTTTGATTACTTTATTCAGGTATTCAAAAAACAAAGAGTTTCCACTTCTAAAGTGAATTCCCATCTTTTTTGTACTTATTAACAATCACACAAATATAACTTCTGGGCTGCAAAGTTAAATCTTTGAATCACACTACTGTGACGTGACAGAGGGCGCTAGTCACTAGGCACGGTGCAAAGTTAAAGATGGCGCTCTGCCCAGTAACAGAGGCAGATGTTAGGCGCGCATAGCTGTGTGTTAAGCAGGCGCGGCGCATAGGCTCCGCCTTGTGCGTTGTGCGCGCGATAGGGCAGCGGAAGTCACTACTTGGTCACGTGAGCGCGTGCGCGGGCGTGGCTAGAGCAGCACGAAAGCTATAAAAAGCGCGCGCAGGTTTGGCGCCCCTAGTTACTAGTTGTCTTGATCAAGGGCTGTTCCTGAGGTAAGGGTCGAGAATCATGTCCGAGTGGTGCGTGTGTCGTTGAGGGGTTCGGTAGGTTGAGGGGCTAATTGGTGGTGCGGTATAGTTCCTGAGCTTGCGGTCGATGCAAGGGCGGATTGCTATCTCGTGTCGTGAGTTGCGTGTAGCGCAGACCTGACAGTAAGCCCCGTAGACTTGCCAAAGTCCCTGATTCGGCATTGGATGCCCACGATTCATTGTACGGTGGTATTAGCTACTCTGGGCGAAGTCCGGTCACGTATAATCACACAGTCTCCCCGTCAATAGCGCCCTCTACTGGTGTATTGGTTGAGTGTGTTGATGAATAAACCAGCCGCTTCTTAATTGTTGTATATAAGTCAGGTCTGTCCGGATAACGTCATTACGTTTCGACCAATCAGATTAGCCATCATCTCGACGAAGACCAACCTTCCTGGGGGACGGTATACTTTGGTCCCAACGGACTCGTCCCTAGCCGCTCAGGGACTCTCCGGCGTGCCATCCGAAGCGCCTCGAGGAAGAGGGCGCCCTCGCCGGAGGGGCGCGGCGTCACACTACTTATGACAATGGAGATGATATACATGTATATACTGGCCTCAGAGTGTACACTGACCGCGCTGGCTCCTGTCCAGTAGCTAACCCCAAAATTCAAGCAATAGTAGATCACAGAGTTTACTTCGAAGAATGTCTTTATTCCATGAACTTCCATGAACTGGTACTATGTGCCTTGAAGTTTGTGGGTAAAACTGTTAAAACAAGATTACAAACATAAGGTCAGTCCTCCATATTTGTGAAAGAAATTGTGAAAACCAACCCCAATAAACGTACAAAACTTCTTGACTATGTCAACACAATTAAACAACCCTAAACAAACGAGTGAAATGACTCTGTCAAAGGGAAATAATAATGTTTTGTACATCCAGATATATACCATATCCCATCTCAATAATCCACTATAGAGTCCCAAGATTGATTTGTATACACTACACATTACCTCCAAAGTGATAAAGGGATTGTATGGTGTGCATTCAGTCGCCCACATGTACATGAAAATAATATTAATAAACTCACAGACTTGTGGGCTTCCAGGCTTCCTCTGACACAATCAGAATCTCATGTAAAGAACTGTCACAGATGTTCTTAAAAGGGTTTAACAAACACCGGGCTCACCCAGCACAATGTCTCTGTAACGGATGACAGTGATAATGGCAACTATAAGTTTCAAAATACGTGAATCTGACTCTGGATTTATGGTACATGTAAACTAACGTGTACATGTAGATTGACATAATCTTATACATTACTAAACTGAGACGGACAAAATAAACTCCAAAATCACAATAAAATGAAACCTTCATAATCATATTAACAACACAATAATGGAGCTTAACTTACATAAAAATATATGGATGCTTAACCCTCACGTTATAGCTTCTAAAAGTACTACAATTTTAGGGCTCTCAGACACAAAGTTGGAGACCGTGAAAACAAAAACTGTCCGTACATGTCAAACAGTTAAACTTAAAGCAACGTACCACGCATACCCAACACGCGCTGCCACCTAGCTATGGCGCGCCTGGGAATTTCACCTAACTATGGAGTGCAAAAATTTACAAAATTAAAGCTTGGGTAAGCACATTATACGGCAGCCATCTTGGAGGGATTATTTATAAGATAATTGTAACTGCATGATGAAAATAAACTATAAAATGGTTTTCCAAGAGCCCCCGCTGTAGCCTCAACATTTCCCTTTTTGAATGGGTAACTTTTCTTGCATGGACATAATCCTTTTAGCCCATTGTGGTCCTCTACAGGATTTATGGAATGATATCCTACTAAAATGCATTTCGTGCCATACCAGGTGCCCCTAAATGCTAAAAAAAGAATTGTCAATTCCGTGTGAATTAAATATTGCAGAAATGTGCTTTTTACTATTTACAGTTTTGTATAGACACTGCTTTTGTGTTGAACTAAGCATAAATAAATCATAAATCCAAAATGAAATGAAGTGTTACCCTGAACCCCCCTGCCTAACTTGACATTACATTGTACAGTTTTTCTCATGAATATGGACATTTGTATTTACATAGAAATATGAATAGAAGGCACCCTATGCATGAAAACCATCATGAACATGGAACTGTGACATCAACTCAAATATTCCTGCTGCCAATTCGCAGAAGTTGAAATGTTCCGCGATGCCAAATCTTAACTTTCGCATTCCCCTGAAGTACGGACCAGCCATTAGAGAGCCAACAGAGACCAAAATTAAAAGTATTAACGGNTGTAAAGACATTGTCAGTACAATTGATGTTTCAACTTTCAACTTAAATGATTGAATTTTCAACCCAGTCTGAAATATTATTGTTTTGTTGTTATGGCCAATTGAAGTTCAAGGCCACACTCAACTCATTCTGCACGCATGCAGCATGTCAATAGAAAACTATACAGTTTTGACCCACCTGTCTCAGAAAAATGGGTACTGCCCAAGAGTGGTACGACAGATTTTCATAAAATTGGTGTCAAAATGAATGCAACATGTTGCTGAAAGAAATTCCTAAAAATTCAGCGAGTTATCAGACAAAAGTAAGAAGGGGCAGATTTTAACTCCCCCTAGGATTAAACATCAACTTGAGATGAGTTGAAGTGCTCTCAAGATTTCAACCCATTCTCCAGTACAAAGTAGTTGGACAAGAAAAGTCTGGTATCCATTCCAATTTAAATTATAGTATCCATGTTCCCACAGGCTTTCTGAGGGAAAAAAGGACAGGTGCACTGTACTCAGAGTTTCACTTCACTGACGACTTGCCTGAGGTATTGGTAAGATGTATCCAGCCAAAATCAACTTCGCAACACTCCTGCATACACAAAAACGGTTTCAAAAGATATATTCCCACATGTGTAAAGGCAACGCAGATGCAGACGGCCCAAGTCAGTAAAAGTGACATTGTGTATCTGTAACAGAAAGAGAAAAATCACATTCAACAATCTGAGATAAAGTTATCATTGTGAAAGCCACAATTGTTGGTTGCGTACAATACCCATGGAGAATCGCATGTATTTAGGACTATGTGTACATTTTTCATTTTGTTCAAAATGCTTCTTTTCATATACTTCTCAAACCCTCTTATAGGTTTGTTTTTCAACACACTTGCAGTGAACGGCCATTTTGAAAATTCCCATAGTAGGCACTCCTGTAAGTTCCAAGAGTTCAATATGCTGTCGATATGAAATATTTCACAAATGGTTAAGATTTAGAATTCGATATTTGGTGTTAACACAGCTCCACAATTCAAAAGAATCTGTTAGGGGGCAGACTTGCGTTCAGGGGCCAAAAACATCAGAAATAGTTTCAAGTCACTTTTTATGGCCTTTTTGAGGGGTGTGGCTACATTTCTGGGGACTCAAGTTTTTTTTTATGCTTTCGGAAGCAAGCAAATTTAAATAGACCCAAAACTTCTCTTTTTTCCTTATTTTTTCATTTTTTTTGGGGGGGAGGGGGGGAATGCCCCCAGGATCTGTCCTTGAAAGTAACACATGTCCAAGAGACGCACATTAAATCATTTAGAATATCAAAATGAATAAGCAATTGGTCAAAGACCATCAAGAACAATGAATCCTGCCACAACAAGCGGTCACAATTAACTGCTTCTGTTTTACTTTGTTTAAAACTGCTTCTCTTTTTAAAATAATTATCATGTTCTGGCCTCCACACATCGCACAAGGGCGTATTTCACGTCTCTGCATATCATGGACCTAATGACATACATGTACATGTATCTAAAAATTTGCTCAGAAAAAACTGACAAATCATCACAACATACAACAGTTACAGTAATGGGTCCTGCAAGTGCCAACTTAATTCACTAGCCTTAAGCTGCTCAGGCACTAGTCTGAAGTCTGGCAAGTCACTCAAACGATAGTTGGCCCGGAAAAGCCTCTGCCTCCTAGCCCCACTAGTGACGTGGCACGGATCACTCCCAATCTATGCTTAGCCACATATCCGTATACGCAATTTCGTGTCGGCGTATTGAACATTCCGGCGCACCCACTTATCATCGTGATCGATAGTTGGGAAAATCCCCCTGCCTCCCTGCTCAAGGGGAATTCCCCGTTTGCCTCGGGGCCTCAAAACAAAAGGCAATTCCCCCATTCCCTTCATCCACAGCAAATGCATTGAATTAATCAGACACTACTTACTTAAATTGGGAACTCCGGAGTCCAAATTTATTATGCAATATTTGGCTTACCATCCCTACATTTCTGAAGTTCCGTCGATAACCCACCTTCAGTAATCAATCGTGGGTGTTTGTTGTTGTAGGTAAATGGCACATGCTGCAGACTGGTGCCCTGCATGCCACACGCAGTGTAGCAGCGTCACTCGTAGGTTGTTTGGATAATGATCTCACACTTTGTAAAAATGCACAAATGAAATAGAAAAGACGCAATAGAAAATGTATCGGATAGTTAAAGGAGTCTGCATGAGTGAGTGTTGTCAAGTTAGCAGAAGTCTTCTCCAAACAGATCTGTATATGTACATGTATTTGTAAACAAGAGACCTTGTAGTGGAAGGGAGGGGCCTTGAAGAATCCCCAGACACTCAGTGCCTCCTGAAAGGGGTCCTGCAAGGTCGGCCGTTCCCCAGGGCCGTGCTGGTATGTTCACAGGTCCGCATACCTCCAGGTGACGATGGGTGACGATGGCACTGAGTGTCTGGTCAATCCTCCCCGCCCGGCCCCATCCCGTACATGTCGCAGGGTCTCTGCTATATAGTAATATATGAATATATGACGTAGGCACCAGTTATTGTAGGAAGTTATATTTTGATCTGGCAATTTTTAATAAAGTGAATGATATGAGGGATACTTTTTGTGCCTGGAAGACGTTAATTAAGGTAAAATCGTTATAACTAAGATTGAGGGATTTTTGGAGAAATTTTCTATTTTTGTAAATTTATTACAAGATATAAGACAATGTGCAACTGTATCATATTGTAACAAAAAAGTTGGTCCGTACTGTGTACCTTTGTATCTGGCGCTGGCGCAGTGCGCCATACAACAAACTCTATACTCCTGCGCTAAAACTTTCAGAGACTTGTTAAGTTGCTGTCGATGTCTGCGCTGCACTGCTGGCTGAACTCTTCTTATCGGTCTCTAGCTTATTTGTTTTTCTCAAGTGGAGTGACTCTTCCACATCGATTTCAGAATTTGGATTTAAGCAACTAGAATTCTGGTAAGGCAGACATTTCGATTTATCATTCCCCCTTTTTAAAAGTTTTTTCGGAGAAACATTTTAAAAACTAAACCGTGATTCAGAACTAATTGTTGAAAGGGAGCAAAACATCTCCCTGAGGTGCTGCTGTGAGGTGCCTTTACTCTCTAGTGCGCCTCCGGGTGTATCCCTGTTTGAAGAGCGGGGCCTGAACTTGATTAATTCCTTGTACATGCATTATTCATGATACACTCTGAGTTTTGTTTCTGCATTCTTTGAACCCGGTGTGAGAAATTGACTTTGTTTGCAATTGGTGACTCAAATCTTTTGCGGCCTGAAAATGTTTATTAAACCTTTGTTTTTATTATTGTTGATCTCAAACCTTGCTTTGGTTGCCTTTTGTTTTGTCCTCTCTATCTCGCCCATAAATTTAGGATATATTTTCCTCAGAACGAATGTCCTCGCACGCTTGCACCTAGCCGCTCAGTATGTTGAGGTGGATTCAGTTTGACAGGCGACTGATATTTTATGCGTTTGAATGCAACTCCTAAGAATTTAGCATTTGGACTTTAGCACCACCTATGTTAAGATTTTCATTGATATTCCTTTTTTTGAAGAGAACAGCTGTGGTTTTGGAATTACAAATTTTTTTATTCCCATTTGTCACACCAATCTTTTACGTTGTCGAGATTTTTCTGCACTTTTTGAGTGATGTAATTGACATTGCGATTTGTTCTCCAGATGGCAATGTCGTCAGTACACCGAGACAAATTAACACCATTTATTGAATCAGGCAGGCCATTGACTGCAATATTGAACAAAGTAGGGCTAATAACACTGCCTTGGGGAATTCCATTGTGAACATTGACTGAGTTTGAAAGACCACCATTGACATTGACTTGGATGGTTCCGTCTGACATAAAATTGTAAATCCATTGAGTGATGTTACCATAAATTCCAAGTGTACGTAGTTTCGTAATTATTCCTATAGGCCAAAGGGTGTCATAAGCTTTTTCTAGATCAAGGAAGACAGCCAGAGTGCTTTCTTTATTAGCAAAACCTTTGTTAATGCAAGATTCAAGACCGATAATATGATCTTTAGTGCTCCTCCCTCTCCGGAAGCCACACTGTTGATTATTAAGTAACTTTTGTTTTTCAAGATACCAGATGAGTCTATTATTAACCACGCGTTCCATTATTTTGCAAATAGTAGATGTGAGAGCAATGGGACTATATGATTTTGGGTCAAAAGATTTTTCCCAGGTTGGGGACAAGAATGGCTTTTTTCCAAGTAGACGGACATTGCAATATATGCCAAATCAACTTAAAGATCTGTAAGAAAATCGCACGACTTTTCTGAGGCATATGTTTGATTATGTCATCTGTAATACCATCATTACCAGGAGATGAACATTTGGCGGAGTGAATAGCTTCATTGAGTTCAACCATATTAACAAGTCCATTAATGATGTCATCATTATTCTCAGCTGAATTTACACGAAGCTTATCTTCAACGTGCTTCTTATTTTCTTCAAAGGAAGCATTACTGACGTTATTATTATTGATGTCAGCAAAACTTTTAGCTAGAATATCACATTTTTCTCCATTAGTAACAAAATCATCACCGTTGCAATGAAGGACAGGAATGTCTGTCTTTGGTTGGGATTTTAATGCTTTTTATTTTGTTCCAAATAGTTTTAGCAGGGGTTTGGTTATTTAAAGTACATGTATCGCAGAAATCTTTCCAATAATCTTTTTAGCCTGTTTTATAGTTTTCCAAGCTATTGCGCAAGTGCGTTTATCATGTTTATAGGTTATGAAATATGACGGTTTTTTTTTGTTTTTTTTTTAACTTTTTAAGGGCTTCTTTTCTGTTCGTAATAGCCCTTTAGCAGGCCTCATTCCACTAAGAGGTAGGATATTTATTTGATTTGTGAGTAGTTTTAGAGATGGCAAAATCAATGACTTTAGTTAACAGATCGACGAACCTCTTATACGTTTCTTCAGGATTAGACAGGGTTCTCCACAGGCTGTTTTAGCAGGGCGGACTGCCCTGCCAAAATTTTG